CTTGTGTCCTCGCGCGTGTCCTCTCCAATCAAGTCCGACTGTATGCCTCCCCGGTCGTGTCGAGGGGGCACATGCACCGCTGCCGGGCACCGGATGACAGTGGAGGCCCATGCCAAGAAACACGCGGCTTGCCTCCAGGGTGCCGTGGGTTTCTTGGGTTTCGATGGTTTTGCTGTGCAAGGCGTGACGCTCCCACACCAAAAATCAATGGACGTCCTGGGGTCTCAGGGTTGGTCGAGCCCCTATACTGAAGGGGAACGAACGATGACGCAAGCATAACAACTCCAAGGTCCGCGCGGATTCCCCGGATCGACGTTGGACTCCCCTCCCTGGCGCGCGCAGCGCGCCAGTGGCGGCGCCAGAGGCGCCGCCAGGGGGTCCCAGCGCCGATCCGAGGGCTTCCGCGCGGACCTCCGAGTTGCTGTGTTTGATTCGGCGCTTGTTCCCCGGATCCTGGGCCCGGCGGCGGTGCTCATGCCCCCTTGGCGTGGCCAGGGAGGCATACGCGCCGATCCTGGCCCAGAAGGGGCCTGGCCAGGGGAGCTGGAAATTAGACATCGTCGCCCGACAGATTCGGTTTCGATCGATTCTGATTCCGACTCGATTCGACTAGGGATTCCGATTTGGCTCCCGATTGCTCAATGGAGGCCTAGCAGCCTGCCGATTTCCGCCGACTCGACTCTTCCCGGCTCGGCTGCCGATTTCCGCAGATGCGATCCAATCCGTTCGCCTATCCGATTTCTATCGCTTCGATTCCGGGCCCTCCTGTGCTTCGCGCGACGTCAGGGCCCTGTAGAGGTCCCGACCCCATCCCCGGTCCTTCATCCACATCTCGAGCCCCACCGTCTCACCACCTCAGTTGGGGATATGCCCCTCGAAACCCGAAGAGCGCAGCCTATATCCCCATCCCGGGGGGTAAATCGACCAGTAGGGCCTAGCCCACGCTGGTGGGGATGGGGATCGGTTCAGCGATGCACATTTTTCCTCCTGGATCCGTTTTTGATGGCCCCCAGGCCTTCTCACGGGCACCGGATCAAGTTATCGATGAAACGCCGCCGGATTGAACACATCATGTCGCCGTTGTTTTATTCGTTGTTTCGCCGATCGCCGCGGGCCCCTGGCCTCTCCCTCCCCCCCCCGTCCATAGACCAGATCTTGGCTGCTTGTGGCGACTGGTCAGGGTCCCTTCCCCCCCGGTCTGCTGGCGCGACCGGCAGAAGCAGACCGACCGAACGTTGGCCCAGACCCAGACCTTCCCCCCTCCCCCACCTGTTGTCGCAAATCATGGGGGCCTGGTGTACCCTGTCAATTCCGTATTTAGCGTGGACTAGCGTCGCTTGGCGTCTGGGGGTCCATGAGGTAGCGCCGATTTGTCGCGTCGGTCAGCATCGATGTAGCGTCGATGTAGCGTCGATGTAGCGTCGATTCGCAGGAGCCCGCAAGATGGTATGCGAGGCTCCCATAACTTGCCACCGGCGGCATGGGCCCGGCCAGGCGCGGTGGAGATGCGCGCAGCCCAGCCCTCGCCTTCCATCGGGCACTTCTCCCTCTATAGGGGAGGAGTGCCCAGGATTGGCTGAAACTCAGGCTGGCGACGCTTTTTGTGTGCTGCCTGGACTACTTCTGACCCTGTTTTTCGACTCTGCAGGGGGAGGAGGAGGAGGAGGAGGAGGAGGAGGAGGAGGGGCTGAGGAGGAGGAGGAGGATGAGGAGGAGGGAGGCGGAGGAGGAGGAGGAAGAAAGAGGAAGAGGAAGAGGGGGGAGGAGGAGGAGGAGGAGGAGGAGGACAGGAGAGGAGGAGGAGGAGGAGGAGGAGGAGGCGGAGGAGGAGGAGGAGAGGAGGAAGAGGGAAGGAAGATGAGGAGAAGAGGACAGGAGGAGGAGGAGGCAGGAGGAGAGGAGGAGGAGGAGGAGGAGGAGGAGGAGGAAGGAGAGGGCGGGAGGATGAGGAGGACTGAGAGGAGGAGAGAGGAGGAGGAGGAGGAGGAAGGAGGAGGGGAGGGGGAGGAGTAGGAGGGAGGAGGAGGAGGAGGAGGAGGAGGAGGAGGAGGAGGAGGAGCAGGAGGAGGGGGAGGAGGGGGAGGAGGGGTAGGGAGGGGGGAGGAAGGGAGGAGGATGAGTAGGAGGAGGAGGAGGAGGAGGAGGAGGAGAGGAGGGAGGAAGGATTTTTGTCAACGCGCGCTGGACCTCTGGATCCTATTCCTCCCAGAGGCCCCCTGCAGGAGGCCACGCCCCACCTCCGCGTGGTTTAGCCCTCGCCGCCGGCAGCGCACGGCCGAGCAGCGCACGGCTCCGCGCACGGGCGGCCTCCTCCTGCGGGGCGCGTGCGCGGCACGGCGGGGCCGCCCGCGGAGCCCGAAATCCTGGTGACCTCCTGGCGTCGACTGCACGTAAGAGCGACCCTTTGCTCGCCCTGGCCGCACCCACGCCGCTCCTCCTCCTCTCCTCCTCCTCCTCCCTCCTCCTCCTCTCCCCCTCCTCCCCTCCTCCTTCTCCTCCCTCCTCCTCCCCTCCTCCTCCCCTCCTTCCTCCTCCTCCTCCTCCTCCTCCTCCTCCTTCCCTCCTCCTCTCCTCCTCCCCCTCCCCCTCCTCCTCCCTCCTCCTCCTCCTCCTCCTCCTCCTCCTCCTCCTCCTCCTCCTCTCCTCTCCTCCTCCTCCTACTCCCCCTCCCCCTCCTCCTCCTCCTCCTGCTCCTCCTCCTCCTCTTCCTCCTCCTCCTCCTCCTCCTCCTCCTCCTCCTCCGCCGGAGTGACCTCTGGTGCGGGCTCATTGGGGTCCCCGATCGCCTCAACGCGAGGTTGCAGTGGCGTCATGCGCGCTGGTGTTCGGTCCTCCCGCGGCCCCCCAGAGGCCGCGCGTTAAAGGTCACTCTTTCCCAGGGTCACTCTTGCGTGTAGCCGACTGGCGATGCAGACCTCACCAGAGACCAAAGGTGCCACTGCCACCAGCTGGGGTGGGTGGCTGTCCCACCCTCTCGAGCTGGTGGTGCCTCGTTCTGGGCACTGCTCCAGAGAGTTCAGGAAGGAGGTGCCACCAGCTCGAGGGGAGGGAGCGGCCACCCCCCCAGCTGGTGGTGGTGGTACTGTTGTGTCTCCTGAAGACCCCCTTCGAGTCACGAGCAACATCACGACGGGAGGTTTTTCTGTATCTTCGGGCTCTTGGGGCCCCTGCCAGCCCTCGGGACCGTCCAAAAGCGACTCGGAATGAGGAGCCGGTCCTGGGGAATGGGTCCAGACTGCCGGGGACCCATGTCAAGAACAAATTATGACGTCGGGGGTCTGGTCCGGGTGGGCCTTTTTTTCCTCCCCAGGCAACGCTCGTTTCCCGG